TACATAAGTCTTCACTTAGAATATAATTAAAAAGTGACTCACCTCTTGCATTGATATCTGAGCTTCGAAGTCGAGTGTCGTGAATTTGCATCCGATCCAATAATTACATCGGCATTCCGTCGCCTCGCTTCGGCTATGACTTCACGTAGCAGTAACGGAGGTGGTTCCACCTCGTCGTCATGGGCCGTGTATGCGGATATAATCCAGAGCTTTCAGAATTCATTTCTGATGAGCATGCAGGATCTTGGTCTACCTGCTAGATTCTGCACCATCAGCTTGAAATTAGGCGTCCTGATCCCGGAGATACCGCTACCGCTTAGCCACGGCTCCTGGATCAGGACTATGTCGGCTCCACCTTGCTCAAGGTGGATAAGGAGATTTGCGGACGCCGCCTTAGAGTGTTGGAGGTTTATTTGCAGGATCTTCATCATCCAAAGTCCGCTCCAGCCACGCCAGTTCGACGTCCTCATTTACTGAGGCCAAGAGCCTCTCTTCCTCCGCCCTGTCGTTGAACCGTCTGTCTCAGCACTTTCGGCCCCCGACATAACGGATTCTACCTCCACACTCATGGGGGCTTCCTCTGCCGCGGGCTCACGTGTTTCCGGCACCTCAGGAGGTTGAGAGCCATCACCCCTGGAATCGGATTGGTAGACCCTAAGGACTACCCTTTCGAATCCATAGGCGATGACTCCCCTGGATTCAGCGAGAGGGCCGAGGGATTGCGCATTGAGTAGTATCAGCGCTTGCCGATGCGACACTCCTCGGAATCTTCTGACCCCTCAAAATTCTGACAACTCTCCAGTTGTGCGTGGGCAGATGCGGGTTGCAGTAACGGAGGATTTCCTCAATCTCCTCCGGAGCGGAGGGCTCGGGGGGGAGCCAGACGCGGGCCCGCGGGCGGGCTGGAAAATCCTTTTCCTTCGCTGCTTCCAGCTTGGCGCCCTCCCAAACCTTCCCCACCAGATACACTGCAGACTTGTATAGTGATGCCGACCGCTCGTCGGCGCATACAATTCTTTTGTGGATGCCATGATGCCATCCACCATCCTCACAGCGCGGAGGTGGACCAGGGTTTCCTCAGACCACCTTCAGAAAGGCAGAGGAGATGGCTGCTGCCACGCGCCTCCAGTTTTCCCTGGATATGGTGTCATCTTCTCTGCCTCGATCGAGGACCCCCAGGGTAGTTGATCCCGCCTGCTTAGCGATTTCGCTGAACAGAGCAGGCGAAACCCCATTCCTGGCTCTTTTTGCGTGGGAGCCTTCTCCCTCTTGAGACCTTTGTCTCTTAGGACCCGTAGGAGGCGCACTCGCGTCTCCTTTCGTCGGGTTCTTGGCCTTCTCATCCAGGCCACACAGCACCCCTTTGGCCCACTCGAGCGTTTTCAAATGTTTCTCGGTGAGGTGAGAAGTATCTTGATCGCCATAGTGCTCCAGAATCTTTGTAGCCATGCGCCTGTCGGAGAAAGCCTTTCGGCCCGACGATTTTTGCCGTTTAGGCATTCCCGAAGGCTTCTTGTGGGGAGCCTTCGAGAACAGACCCGGAAGACTGGGAGAGGAGCCCGCGCTGGTGCTGGCGATTCCGTCTAGCACCCCCCTTAATCGCTCTCTCAGTCCGGCCCCTTGCCTAGAGACCCCCACGGAGTCCGGTTCCGGCACTCCTGCCCTCCCAGTGGCGACAGCACCTGCCCCCCCGGAAGCAATTAAGTGCGTCGGTTTCGACGCGTTCTTACCCCCCGAGCGAATATCCTTTGAGGATGCCCCAGAGGTAAAAATTGTAGAACGGGGCGGTTTCGCCTCGCATACCGCAGGTGGTGCTGTAGCCCCCCCAGATGAGCCGGCTTTTGGGGTCGGCTCCGACTCCCCGCCACCCCTCGAAGGCTTATTTTTTTGTTGGTGTATTGTTTTTTGTTGTTGTTGTTGCCTTTCATATTCTTTTGGGCCCCCACGCAGAGCCGCTATCCAAAACCCGAGCGTGTAGTCGCCTTTAAATGGTCCCATAGCTACCTATGAACAAGACTATGGCGAGGGTTGACCCATGCCCTTATGGGGTCATGAGTTCAGAGCCCACCAGCGCAAAGACGGGAGTCCTCTAAACCGCACCTACACCACCAACTTAACGGCGACGGGAAGTGGAACGTACCCTCAGGCCTGCCAGGGTTTTAACGGGAAGGGGGCAGTTGCGGCATTAGCCCACCAGCCATTTCTGCTGAATGTTAACCCAGCATACTCAGGTGGTAGAATACCACAACCACCAGCTCAGGGATCGACAAATCCAAAACGTTTTCAGAATCGTAGTCAGAGGACGGGTCGTTACCGTTCAGGTTAAGAGGCCGTGGAGGCCCAGGCCATTTGGCGTTACCCAGGGTGCACCACGCGGAGGCGACCTGCTCTACACCCCCGAAGTAAATGTTACTTTAAAATCTTCCACAAACGAGTCTATATCACCCTCGCAGTTATGTGCAGCATTTAATTTAATGTGACTACTGATGAGATCATATTTAAGCCAGTTGGTGTTATTTTAAGTTAGACGAAGCTCAATCTCGATGTTTTGGGTCTGTTCATATAGTTTTATTAATATAGGGGATTGATTGGTTGATAGTTCAGGTAGAGTTTCTGCTGTTATGTTATTTCTGTATATGTTTCTTGTAATTGCGAAATCTATTAGGTCTGGTATCTTCTTTATATCGGTGGGCCAGTAAGTAGGTTTACCAGGAGATGGACCTCTAGTCTATTGTGCCTGGCTATAATAGTATTGTATAACTGCCGCGCTTTTGTGTTAATAAGGCGTGATCCCCAGTACGTATGCTTTGCGTTGAAGTCGCCTCCTGCCAGGAATTTATTACCCAGGCTATCAAAGAAATCTTTAAAGTCATTTTCAGAATTTAAAAATCACAATAAATAGCCGACAGATTCAAGTCTCGCGGTCGCGGTTTCGTAAGCATATGGTAGTTGCTTGCAGCTAGGCTGTTGGTTTTGAGTCTAGAATATTTACCATCTGGATGATTTGTGGCATAGCATTTGTGTCCAGGTATGGAGAAATTATATTTATTTGTTAAATGCGTATCGGACAGTAGCATAACATCTATGTTGTATTCAGTGAGAAATTGAGTGAGTTCCAATATACGCTGGTTTACACACTTAGCGGTTTTTATTCATTAAAATTTGCAACAATTGGTTTTGAGCCTTTATGACGTCTTGCATCATATTTTGCATAGCAGACATGAATTGAGTCATACACTGAGTAAGATTCAATATCAATCCTTCTATGCCCCCAGTTGAGGGGTTCGGCTGAATTTGCTTAGTATTGTTTCTTTGAATATGTGCAGATGTTTCTTGATTGGAGTTTGATTTCGCCGTGCTTGGCTACGTTGTTAGTTTTAATGCGTCGACAAAGGAAACGTTGGGAACTCGCTTCGCGTTGGCAAAAAAGGCTCCTGGTGTAGTGATTGATGGCTTGGGGGGTTGGTATGTATGAGAGCTAGTTGGAGTGGTGGAAGGGCTTACGGCTATATTGCGCTGATTCATGCGAGACTTTAAGTCTTTGTATTCAGGGAATCTCCTATAATTGGCGCAATTACTGCATTTCTTTGCAGCCACATCAGCTTTGATAGCCTTGCCAGAAGCGGAAGCGTGAAGATCGCCACAGGCAACACACACTGGACGCAAGGTGCTGTATGTTCTGGTATGCCCAAATTCTTGACAATTTGTGTACTATATGGGACCGTTTCGCTTGTGCGGCTCCTCCACTGCTATTCTTTGGTGTAGAAGGTATCGAAAGTTGTAGATTGGGTGCACTGCGTTTTTACTGATTTGCTTTGTTTCTGGCTTAAGTTCTACCTTAAACATAGGCTGAGCGATTCTCCCTCTGTCGATATTATTGACAACATGGCTATGACATATTTTTATCAAAATTTACAGAGCCCAAACTTTTTTTAGCGGCATGAATTGGCACTAAATAAGCACTTACTTATGGAATATGTGCCATACGAATCGGGGAATGTTGTAGTGATTAGTTGGTTTAAGTGGATTGTCACCGTGGTGACAAGCAATTAGCACGTTTGCCATTTTGATTCCACAACTCATGCAACCTACAGCCATTTCGCGGCTTTAATAACTTTCAGTACGTCATATAGAGAGAGGCAGCTGCACTCAGAAATATTCTGCAGGAATGGCTTTCCGAATGTCTTTAGCCTCATCCTTACGAGAGCTGGACACTCGCACAGCAACCTCTTGCGACCTCGTACGACCTCTTTTGAGCCCGGGTCATCGCAGCTGCGGCAGAATCTATTGGAGGGCAGTCGATTACTTCAGGGAACTTCGTCCTTAGTGGATCCTCACGATGAATGTCATATTGGTCCAAATCGATGCCTTCTGCGTTCATAGCTTCCTGCAGCTATGATTTCAATTCCTCCTTGTTTCAGGACGTGAATAGTCCTTGCTTTGCCAACTCCTTTTGTAGAGGCAGTATCGTCAAATCATAGAACTTCTACATTTTCAAATCTTACTCCTATGGAATTTACTCCAATTCTGACACCAATTGTCACGATTATCTTTGAATACTTGACGGATTTCCCAAAATCTCTCAGTTTCGTATCACTCGATTGTTAAATAAACGCTCAAAGTGACCAAATCATTACAATTAACTTGATTGTACAACAAACACCTACAATACTTGTTAAGGCAATTCAAACACTTTACAATACTTGCTAAGGCAATTGATCTCTATACCCGGCTTCTGTTTTACAACGGAACTTGTAGCTTGCTTATTCTAAACTGAACTTGTGGTGCGCTGTGGCAGCGCCCTTATATACTTGCGCTCGCGCTCATGGCAACTCCCGAAAGTTCTTATCTAAAGTTATCAGGCATTTCATTTGACGTTTTTCCTCTACATTTTTATCGCGCATTCCTTCATTATCTTGTTGTTCGCTTTGCGAGTTCGCAGTATTTAAATAAACTAATAATATTTTTACAAGAGTTTAATTTGGTTTCATCTTATTTATTTTAGTTATTCCAGTTACTAACTTGCGATTGGGTTCTCGAAAATAAGACACAGCTTTGGGAGGCAGAGTTCAAAAGAGCGGATTACACAATACCACAGCAAGTTTCAGGTGATTATTTGGAGAATTTTCAAAAGGATCTTAATTCGATGCGCTACGTCATAGACGACTTGGAAGTAAGTTGTTCTCTCCTTAAATAAGTTTGTATATTTACATGCATCATCTACATATCGTCGTTTAAAGTACAAAACCGCATATCTGCAAAATGCAACACCGCGTATCAAGATAATGCAAAGCCGTGTATGTGAGGTTGCATAATTTATTTTCTAGAGAATAAAAACACTCATATTTCAAAATGGTTCTCTTTTTTTTATAAAGCAATCGTATTTCTGGCTAGTATATTTCAGGACGAATTGATTAAGATTGGACCAAGGGCTTGAGTGAGCAAATCCAATTTTTTGGCAACCAATGTCAGTTACGCGGTTTTGCAGAATGACGATACGCGGTTTTGTACTTTAAACGACGATATACTGATCTATACATACCAGAGACCGAAAATAACTGGTCCACATTAATCATATTGTAACTTTGTCTATCATTAACCATTTATTTTTTACTTTTTGTGATATATAACTGTGAAAGCGTTTTATGCGAGGGAGTTTACAGTTAATGACTGTGAGAAATGGAATCGCTAACGAAAATACAGACCAACCGCAGTTATTTATGCAATTTTTTTTTTTGTTGAAAAGGTGGGTTAGTATATTTATTTATGGTGCAGAGAAAATATATGATGAAATTGCAACAAAGTAAAACAAACTATAAGGAATACCAAGTAAAACTATTTTTACTCACTCAAATGATCACCGTTAAAAACTATTTTTAACAAACTTTACACGCTGAAACATTTTTATCACTACTTGTACCCAAGTCAAAAAAGCTGCCTAATTCAACGCTATATTTTCGGTCCATCTTCTTCCCTTATATAAATAAACTATACTAAATAGAAGCAAACTACCGAAGCATTTCATTTAACTTACATACCGCTGCATTTAAAACAAAAAAGTAAAACAAAAGGTCAATTCTAAACGTAAAAAAACATCAGATCAAATAAAAGTCTATCCAATGCAGATAAGCCAAAAACTCGTTATAAAAGTTATTGTGAGTGATTTATTTTTTATAACAAAAAATAAATGTAAATTTGTGACACAGCAATAAATGTGCCAGTTATTTTCGGTCTCTGATACATACTCGTAAAGCACGGATCACACTATTTGTATATTTGTACAGATTTGAACGTTTTAGCAGTCACAGAGTGGTGTTGCCGAGAAACGTTTATTGAGAATGAGTTCAGCTCAATAAAAAAATTTCCAAACAACACCACTCTGTGACTGCTAAAATGTACAGATCGTGTGATCCCTGCTTAAGATATAATATCTCGAACGGCATGACAGATTTTCGTGGAATTTGTAATATATGTGGCTTTCGCCCATCACCATAGTTTACGACAAAAATATTTTTAAACCATTTGCTAGAAAATAAGGCTTTGTAAAATCGTACATACCTAAGCAAAATGGTGATATGCCCTTCTTCTCCTTACTTGGCTCTACATAGGCGTCGGACTGTTTTGAATACCTGCTCATATGAATATGTCGTATTTCGCTGCCAATGTCTCTGCCATTTCCATTGCGTATCATACACTATAAGCTATTTCATGTTGGGCACGTTCGCCAAGGTAAATCAAAACAGTTATGGTGATTTCGTTTATACCAAAATGTGTTGCCTTTTGATTGCCCTTTTTCTATTCGTGTTCGGTTCTAAGATAAAGGCAAACGAAATTAGAAAATTTTGTGCTCGTTTCTTAGAATTACACACTCATACTCAGGCACATTCCCTGCCCCTTAACCCTTAATTAGACGCATAAAAAAAATCACACAATTAGTCGCATGGGGTCCCCAGTAAAAGTATTGAAAATAGAGTTTTCAAAATAAAAATAAGGAAGTGTGTATTAACAAAAATATTAAAGTACTCTATTATCGTTAACTTAAAAAAATAAAAACATAATTCCGACTTCAAACTTAAAAAACAAAATTAAAACTTACTTTCACCAAAAAATATTACGCTAGTAGGCGCATGGGGTCAGCACTCAAGCGAGTAGCGACACATGTGTACACGACGATGTTCTTTCCGTAACTAAATAAATAAAACGAAATGTATATTGTCATAAATATTAAAGCTCTTTGTTATAGTTAACTTTAAGAAAGAAAAGCATAACTTTGACTTCAAAATTAGATACAAAAGTAAAAACTAAAAAATGTTACATAAGTGGTCGCATGGGGTCAGGGCTTAAAAGATCAGCGACAAATGTGTACACGCCGACGTTCTGGCCGTGACATATTTACGTACCCCGCGGGGAGTTAGTACATTTTTCTTCAATCGCGAGTGTAGGCAAGTCGGTCTGCATATCGTTACCTTAAAAAGAGTATCAAAAACAGGTAGCGCTTTTTAAAACGTGGTATGTACCTCCGTTTCTTTTGGCAGTAACACTTTGAATTTTTTATTGAAGGTGTATTTTAATTTCTCTTACTAATATATGTGAAAAACACAGTTTCCAAAAAGTATTGGTTAGAGCCTTTGTGAATTAATTAACGATCACCCAATGGTGAACACACTAGCTCAGCCGTTGTATTTGTATGCGTTCAGCTATGTCCATGTCGCTAAAAAGCTCGTACAGTTCGTCAACACATCTTCTTCAGTACACGTCCCCAACGCGCCATAGATCTTGCGTAGAATGGTTCGCTCGTAAGGGCCCAAAGACTTCTTATCTTTTTTCGATATCGTCCACGTTTCTGCGCTACATAGAAGGACGGACATAACAGATTTGTGAAGCGTAACTTGTCTTCGATGAGAAAGGCCTCTATTTTGAATAGCCTGCCGAGCCCAAAGTAGCCCCGGTATGGCAAGCGTTACCCTCTGCTTAATGTGTTGGCTGAGCAGTTAGATATTAAAGCAAAAAAAAACTTGGTGTTTAGGGGCTGCTAGATACCAAAGTAAAAAATATTAAGTATTTAGCAGGCGCTAAATACTCTGGTCCAAGTACTCAGGTTCTTTGGAGATGCAAAATACTTTCAATAAAGTACCAAGGTATTAAGTCTCGATGGCTAAATACTTTCAAACTAAATACTTTATGAGGTGGGTTTTGTCTAAGGCTGAGGTACGCTCAGCCGGCTCAGGGTACAATAGAGGTCCCACTAACCCCCACCAAATCAAACACAATAGTTATTGTAATACGTAGAACACACGAGGCGAGATATGGCCACAGCGCCGGCAACCTTTCATCCAAGAAATGAGAGAGAGAGTAACAGCGGCTATGGATTGGTAACGGTGAGAGTGGCAATGAGAGCGACAGTGATACTCGGTGACGACGGTGATCGCAGCGGCAATGAGAGTGACGGTGATACTCGTGACGACGGTGATCGCAGCGGCAATGAGACTCGTTGATGCCGGTGAGCGCAACGGCAATGAGAGCGGCGGTGCAGCAACGGCCTCCAAAAGGCGATGGCGGGTGACTGGCGTTGGCTCCGAGGGCGATAACGATGGTGCGGTCCCAATACTGAAGGCGGCGGCAGCGGCCCTAACTTGTGGTGACGGAGGGAGCAGCGCCCCTGTCTGGCGGCGACTACTGCAATCGGCCGACGGGTTGGGCACGATGATGGGTTCGGCCCAGGGCGGCAACGACGGTGGCAACCCTAATAACGAAGACGGCGGCAGCGGCCCTTGCTGTGGTGACGGAAGGAGCAGCGCTCCTGGATTACGGCGGTGATAGGGGCGGCGGCCTCAAATGCCGTTGACTTGTTGCGGCCTGCAATGAAGAGACAACGGAGACTGATTAGTGGGCCCTAAGCACTCACCTGTGTCGCCCATCGTAGTTGCACACTAACGATGTAGGTGCGGAACGGTTGGTGGCACGGGTGAGTGCGACCTTCCACGGCGGCTTGGGGACCGGTACGAGGGGAGTACATGGTTGCAAATAGCAACGACAACGTCTACAAAGTGTAACGATGCTCATCTACCAAAAGGCGACGTACGCGCTCCCTTACCTACGGAGACTGATAGCGGATGAGCAATTGTAGAGAACCTTATACCCATCGCCGCGCAAGTCGGTTGCGAAGTAAGAAGAGCTGAAAAGGTTTTAGAAATCTTTGCGCAAGTGCCCAACGAACTTTCCACGTGTGTTCGGGCGCATGCTTGCTTGTGCTTTGTTTTGTACATATTCTATTTTTAGCGCACGCTGGTGTGTGTGTATGTATGTGCGCTGTGAATGTTCTGCATATACCGCCGTATACGAATGACTGGCGTATGTAAGTAAGCATTTCGTATGTTCACACGAGTGGCATATGTGCATGCGTATGCTTGTATATACTATATATACGGTCGGCATATTTCCTCGCACGTATGTATATTTTCGGCGTAGGCTTTGTTTTTTTTTTTGTAGAGGTGGCACACAGCATTGAAAGCCGAAAAGTGTGGGACTTGCCTTTCAGCTCACCGCACTAAAAACCCACCCCTTCTCCGTTTCCCTCCCACCGTGGAACTACCGTAAGGTATTACTTCGCGGAGGGGGAGCGGCCTATTGCCAGTCTATGAAATTCTGCGGAGTTGTTCCGCTCGACGCAATTTAGATGAAATTGTGCTTGCCAAATGGCAAGCAACGGACCAGTTATCTTCTGACTCAAGCATAGTATCCACAAGGTTATGAATCGTACGTGGCCTCCCCACCTTCCTGCTCGAGTCATCCCTTTCGATTGCAAACCTCGGACAGACGAAAAAGCAGTGTTCAGCGTCTTCAATAATATCCTTTGCACAGAAGGTGCAGAAGGGATCGTCTTTGTGCTTAAATCGGTATAAATATGATTTAAAGCACCCATGCCCTGTTAATATTTGGGTCAAATGAAAGTCCACTTCCCCATGTTCCCTACTTACCCACCTTGATATCGAGGGTATGAGGCGGTGCGTCCACCTCGTTTGCCATTGCTGCAAGCACCTCTGTGTCACCTCTTCGCGTCTCGTTCGGTTTGTAGGCCTGGGGCCTGTCACTTCCACTAGAATGTCAATGGGGCAGAGTCCTGCCACCACTGGTGCTGCTTCTTCGGACGTAGTTCGGAATGCACTGCATACT